GTACAGAGTACGTATTTTATGTACGTACAGAGTACGTACTTTAAGTACGTACTAGGTACGTACCGTCGTTTGGAAAATGTACGTATTATGTACGTACTATGTACGTACTTCGTACAGTAAAGTACGTACATGGTACGTACTTTACGTCCCATCAGTACGTACATAGTACGTCTTATGTACGTATGTGTGTTTGCTGGGTTAGCTGAATTCGGGGAAATAGTTAACTTGAATTTTTAAGGTGAAGGGGGAGAAAAAGTCCTTTATATCTCACAAGGAAAGTCAATGTTTAATTATTTAACAAAACATTGAGTGCGACCGGTTTCGAAGTGTCATCACTTCATCTTCAGGCTCGCCTAGTGGAAAGGAGAATATGTGGTGTAAGGTGTGTTAACTTGGAGCAAACGATATATAAAATAGTAAAAAAAAAAGAGAAAACTCACCATACTCTCCATCCACTAAGGAATACTACAAAACAAGTTTCATCAAATGTGGGGTGAAATAAATTGTAAAATGAACAAAGTTTACAAGTAATAAAAAGTTAAAAATATTTGAAAAAACAAATATTAGTCCATTGAAATAGTAATAATTTAAAATATTCAAGACCATACAAAACAAATCACATACATTAAACAGATTAAAAGATAAGGCTTATTTTAAACAACCTTGTTGTTTTTTCAAAAAACTAACATTTTTGAAAGGAGACCTGTCAAGTTAAGGCCTCTACAGGTGGTGGCAAGTATTAACAAAAAAAAACAAAATTCTTGGGTAAACCCATGACAGGGTATAGGTAATAAGATGTAAACCATGAGTGAAGAAATATTTATTATTTATTATATAAGATTTGGGCCATGAACCATTCACCAAGTGTATGTGATGTTGTAGGAAGAAGAAAGAAGAAGAAATAACTGGGTTAACTGTTGTGAAGCAACTGAAGAATAAAAGAAGAAAAGAAGAAAATGACGGATGTGAATATCACACAATCTAACCTAATCTTTAAACATGCTCGTTGGTTTCTTGTGGGAAAAAAAAATACTTACTGAAATGTACCCCTTGCAAGAAAATATGTGAATAGAAATAAAGGGGGAGGTTAAAAAGGAAGTTAGAACGATAAATTTAGATTGGTGTTGAGAAAACAGGAGGAGTTTCTGACATTATCTGGGCATTTAAGCAACCAACAGGATTTAATTTTAAATTTCTCAATATCTCGAAGCTTTCGAAGCTATTAAGAGTAAATCTATGGTAGGAACTAAGTAGGATTTCGAAACCTTCAGTTGAATCGAAGTCGTGATTTGAGTCCAGTAGGTGGTTGGCAAAATGTGAAAAACCTGTTGTATTTTGGTTAAGACACCGCAAATGTTCTTTTAAACGGATCTTGAAATTTCGAAATGTGCGTCCCACATAGAAAGAATGGCAAGATTTACAAGTTAATTTATAAATTCCAGATAAGTCAAAGGGATCTAATTTATCTTTATTATGAACAAATAACTTATGTAATGAGGAGGGGGTTTTGAAAAATACTTAAAACCCCCTCCTCATTACATAAGTTATTTGTTCATAATAAAGATAAATTAGATCCCTTTGACTTATCTGGAATTTATAAATTAACTTGTAAATCTTGCCATTCTTTCTATGTGGGACGCATATTTCGAAATTTCAAGATCCGTTTAAAAGAACATTTGCGGTGTCTTAACCAAAATACAACAGGTTTTTCACATTTTGCCAACCACCTACTGGACTCAAATCACGACTTCGATTCAACTGAAGGTTTAGAAATCCTACATAGTTCCTACCATAGATTTACTCTTAATAGCTTCGAAAGCCTCGAGATATTGATAAATTTAAAATTAAATCCTGTTGGTTGCTTAAATGCCCAGATAATGTCAGAAACTCCTCCTGTTTTCTCAACACTAATCTAAATTTATCGTTCTAACTTCCTTTTTAACCTCCCCCTTTATTTCTATTCACATATTTTCTTGCAAGGGGTACATTTCAGTAAGTAATTTTTTTTCCCACAAGAAACCAACGAGCATGTTTAAAGATTAGGTTAGATTGTGTGATATTCACATCCGTCATTTTCTTCTTCAGTTGCTTCACAACAGTTAACCCAGTCATTTCTTCTTCTTTCTTCTTCCTACAACATCACATACACTTGGTGATTGGTTCATGGCCCAAATCTTATATAATAAATAATAAATATTTCTTCACTCATGGTTTACATCTTATTACCTATACCCTGTCATGGGTTTACCCAAGAATTTTGTTTTTTTTTTGTTAATACTTGCCACCACCTGTAGAGGCCTTAACTTGACAGGTCTCCTTTCAAAAATGTTAGTTTTTTGAAAAAACAACAAGGTTGTTTAAAATAAGCCTTATCTTTTAATCTGTTTCATGTATGTGATTTGTTTTGTATGGTCTTGAATATTTTAAATTTTTACTATTTCAATTGACTAATATTTGTTTTTTCAAATATTTTTAAATTTTTATTACTTGTAAACTTTGTTCATTTTACAATTTATTTCACCCCACATTTGATGAAACTTGTTTTGTAGTATTCCTTAGTGGATGGAGAGTATGGTGAGTTTTCTCTTTTTTTTTTACTATTTTATATATCGTTTGCTCCAAGTTAACACACCTTACACCACATATTCTCCTTTCCACTAGGCGAGCCTGAAGATGAAGTGATGACACTTCGAAACCGGTCGCACTCAATGTTTTGTTAAATAATTAAACATTGACTTTCCTTGTGAGATATAAAGGACTTTTTCTCCCCCTTCACCTTAAAATTACCTCAACTCACACATGGCTACTCCCCTTGTCAAAGTTAACTAGAACTCTGTAAAAGTCAAACTTTATGCTTTCTACACTCCAAAATTAAATTAAAAAAAAAATATTATGTTTGCAGGTTGCTCATCCATCTTAAATCAGGAACTGATTTGTATGTAAAAGATAAGCGTATCGAAAAACAATTAATGTGTTTACAAACAGAAATTCACAATTAATATCAGATTTGCATTAATCTTTAAGGTAACATAATAACTAAATAATTCCAATAAACAAATCTAAATGTAATCAAATATTGTTTCGACTTCTCTAAACTCTTTTTTGTGACATGTAAATGAGATACTTGCATTTTTTTAGCAGTTCTACAACCGCCACTGGTTTCAAATTAAAGAAAAACATGTAGAATACCGTTGTTTTTTTACAGATTATTTTTATTAGTCGCTTTTGTATAATTTCTATTTTTTAGGTATGTATTCATTCCACTTCTACAAGCACTAATGCGATAATACTTTTTGAGAAGGTTAGTTTTATGGTGATTATTGACGATGTGCGCCATATTTGCAGATCTGAAAAGTCGCAGACTTGGTGCATTTTCTGTAATCTCACCCTATAATGAGCTAGAAAAAAGTTTGCTTAAAATAATGGGTAAGAAATTCTTATAGAACCACTATTTGATTCGGGATTCTATTTTTGTTTTCAAATTGTATATTCGTAAAAAATAAAAGTATCATCTGATTTATAGACAATTACCCAGAAAAATTATTTTAAATATATTGTAGAAAGAACTGGTCCCAATACCGCCCCTTGAGGTACATAGGGTTGCCAACTTTGTTTTTTAAGTTTTCTGGACGAGGGTAAAAAAATTCAGGACATACGGTATAAATTCTGGACATTTTTATTATTGCAAAAAAACATACAACCTTTAATAAACAATTCGACAAAAAAACGAAGTGATAGAAACAAGAATTCTTTTGGTAAATAGGAACTAATGATTAAACATTTTCTTTAAAAAGAACATAAAAAAAATATAAAAAATCACACTGTTCAAAAAGCCCGCTTGTGGCGGCCATATTGAATTTTAGTACCACTCCAATTTGATAGATGGCAGCACATCGACTCAGAATTTTACCATTGAGTTTCCCATCTATTCATATTAGTAATCTATGACAGTGTCATTGCGTTTAAAATCATATTTTTTCACTCCTTGCAGCTACTAATAATTTGCCAATGTGACTATAAAATATAAGTAATGGGAGATATTATTTTGAACACTGAAATAAAGTACAATAAGCGTCCTGCAATAGGTTGTTGCAGGACACTGGACAATGCACCCCAAATGGTGGACGTCCACCGAAATGCAGGACGGTTGGCAACCCTAGAGGTACACCACATATAATATGATAACTTGTTCAATGTTTCCAAGTATCTGAGTTTTTAAGAGTTATTTAACAGTATTAAATAATAAAGAAAATTTCTTTCGAAAAATTCATAACCAAACAATCTTTCCAAATTCGCAACCGTAATATTTTAGCAAATCGGATTCAGTAAAAAAAATCATCATCGTTAAAAATGGGGGATGGAAAAGTCAATACGTTATGTTCCCTATACCTTTCGCGTGAATAATGAAAATATGATACACGAGTGATTTTTCTTCCCTTTTTTCTAGAGGTAATAAAAGACATCGAAATATTAAATTTCGCAGATTCCATTCTCGAACAAAACAGTAAAAAGTGGGGTTCCGGAAAAAAGTAATGACGGGGTTTCCACTGAGATTTATTACAACATTACAACAGGAAAAAGTTATAAAGTGTTATAACGATACTTTATGCACCTTCTTTGGAGAAAAGATGTCAATGAATAAGAATTTTTAACGAGAAATGTAATATACCGAGGCACAAAAAAGTTATAAAGCTTTAGATGACAGGCAAAGTGTTGCTGGTGGCGCACTTTGCAATGTACATTGATCTTTCATCCTAAAAAAATATTCCAAGAATCAAATTTTGTGCAATTCATACTAATAATAATAAGATAAATAAAAAAATACAAAAAAAATAATAACGTTGACACCAACTTTTAAACTAAGGTAAATTTGACTAGATTTTCATATAATAACCTCACATTTGGTACTAGCAGACCTTTTAGAAACATTTTGTATCTGCATAGTGACAACGACTGATTGGGGCATCCTGTATAGGTATATAAATTATTTTAAAACTTACCTTCGTGGGCATGAACTAAGGCGTCTATAATATAAATGGCATCACAAAGATAGTCCAGGGTCCACCATAATGGTGGATATTTATTGTTTAGTTCCCAAAACACTGCTCTACCTAGGACAAAAATGGTGTTGTGCAGAACTGCTAATGATACAACCATAAGCCACTGAAAATAAAAATAATATATTACCATAACAAAATAGTATATTACATTACGAGTGTGGAAAGTGATAGTTTTCCTACGACCACAAAATAATTTTATCAAAAGAAAGTGGAACTAGAAAATCTGGCTATGAAGGTTCCATCAAGAGATACTCTGAGAAAACGCGGTACGCGACAACTCGGCGATGCAAAGCCGGCGACGGTCAACTCGGCGATGCCAAGTCGGCGATAGCCAACTCGACGATGGTAAACTCGGCGACGATCAACTCGGCGAAAAGGAATACAATAATATAATATGCAGTTATTTATTATAATACAATTATTTATTATAATACAATATAATATACAATCTATAAAAAAAATTGATTAGAGAACTTGATTAATAAAATAAAAATATATAAGAGATTTTAAAAGTGGCAATAAAATCAATTAAGGGTTTTAACTACAATTAAGGTTTCTAATGCATACTATTAGAAAGCAAATTAAAATATTAAGAGAAAATTTAGAGCTTAAGATTTTTCAATGCAAAATAAAAATAAGATATAATATATTAAAATATTAGGTTATGAAATAAAAAAATTTAAGTAACATATTATATGCTGAAACGGAATTAAAAAATAAAAACTGAAATAAAAAAAGGTTGATTATAGAATATTGTTATTTATTATAATACACATTACAATTATTTATAATACATATATTTATTATAATACAATATAATAAAAAAAAACTAATTCATGTTATAATTATGTGATATCCCTCTGAGATAAACGATCAAATTTTGCCGGTTATAATTGGCCACTTTATTTAAAATCCTCTCGTCGGCTTCCTCATAACGTTTCCTTTTTGATGCGCCATTGCGCCCGGCAATTGCTCGTTCATAGTCTGCATCGTACGAAGACTGTACCTTTTTTAAATTATCTATGAATGTCCATAACGAAGGATGAGCAATGCCAGAACCAAAAGCCAGTTGCAACTTGCGATGACATGCTTCTGCAAAATTATTTGTCCTATCTCGTCCATTCAATGTTCGAAAATAAACGGACCAAACTGCCGATGGAAAAGTTGCTGGCACTCTGGTTCCATTATTCCTAAGTCGACCGATATAATTGCTGGTAAACCATTCTAAAATTGGTTCTAATATTTCTGGCAACTCATTTTCCAATTCGGCAATGGCCTCAATCACATCCTCTTCTGGGACAAATGCCAATGATGTTACCATTTTTGCTTGTAGTGCAAATTCGGGATCAGTATTGTACATTCCTAGGAGATTGCAAGAAGATAAATGCTTTCGAAGATTTTTGACCAAGTGAAATAAGCATCCTCTAATTTCGGCTTCTGGGAAAACTTGTCTTACGGCCTGGTGAATTGCCAACTCAAAGTCGACACTGATGCTTTCCGGATTTAATTGCGGCCAAAGAACTTTTATCATGTTAAACATATTGAGATATGTTTCTGCACTTTTATTGGGCAGCAAGCAATATAGTATAGGAAAAACTGGACCCTTCTCTTCATGCGTATCTTTTCTTGCCAGAACAACAAATATTTGAGCAAAAAGTGGAGGACACAATAAGAATGTGCCGTCAACAAATAATTCTTTCATGCTTGCACTCCATGTTGCATGGTATTCTCTACCAAATATTAGAATTCGATGTGGATCCACTTGATCTCTTCCGGAATCTGCCAGCAAAAAATTCTCAAATTGAGTAGGGCTGTAATAATATTGCGAGTACACTTCTGGGATGATAATTTCACTAAGAGTTTCTGGATTGGCGGGTGCTTTGCACATGGTTACTCTTACTCTTTGAATGTTTCTCCACATAACACTGGAACTTGGAAGCATTCCTTTAACCGCAGCTGGTACATTCTCCAAAACTCGTCCTCTGATTTGGGCAGGATTCTCCATCGTTGTCGCGGCCAGGTGCTTCACAGTGGTATTCATTTTTTGCAGAACAATATTTGCTGTATTTCCTACCGTACTACATGTGTGTTCATTTCGTATACATTTGAAAGAACCATCCATAATATTGGTCCATATTCTTCCTTTGCATCTTTCATGCTTGTTTTCGCAGCGCCAGAATTGAATGGTGTTGTCCTTGTTCGTTTTATCCTTCGTGTATAGGTAGCCATCCCAGTAGTACTTTTCGTGACCCCTTTGGCTAAGAACTTTATTTTCCATCTTGAGTCTCAGTAAATAAAAAACTCACACAGACAAACAAAATTACACACAATGTCTTTACTTCTGAGATGAATTCGGAATAGTAAGGAAAGTGAATATCACCAGTCTTTTATAGGATGTAGGTACAAGTAAGCAGGTAATTATCAGGTAATCTTATTTTTATTTTGTTTTGAAAAATCTTAAGCCCTTAAGCAGGCAATTATAAGGTAATCTTATTTTTATTTTGCTTTGAAAAATCTTAAGCCCTCAATATTTATTTGCTTTCTAATACTAGGTATTAAAACCCCTAATTGTAGTTAAGACCCTTAATTGATTTTATTGCCACCTTAATTTTGTAATTCCAAACAACTCTGGCCATTAAATTTTAATTTCTTAATCAAGAAGTTTCTTTTTCAGATTCTTAGTTTTAATATTTAATATATTTTTTCATGTATATGTTGATTTACTTTAGTAATAATAACTTTTTTCCAGTTTCTTATTTAAAATCTCTTATATATTTTTATTAATCAAATTCTCCAATCAAATTTTTTTTATAGGTTGTATCTTATTTTGTATTATAATAAATAATTGAATAATATATTATTGTATTCCTTTTCGCCGAGTTGATCGTCGCCGAGTTTACCATCGCCGACTCGGCATCGCCGAGTTGACCATCGCCGAGTTGACCTGCTCCGGAGAAAACGTATCTATTCACAATATACCACAGAGTTAGGTATACGGTAAATAGTTACGTTTTCTCAGAGTATTTCTGTGGTGGAACTAGCCCTATGTTTCTTCTTTTCGTTTCTAACAATCAAACAATTGCAACTGTTTGAATTGAAGATGCTGTTATCATTACAAAAGATGAAAGAAAAACAGTTTCCAATGTAGTTTTAGTTCCAGACTTTTGAGCAAATTTACTTTCTGTCAGTAAGATAGTCGAGAAAGGACATACAGTCATATTCAACTCTCGTGGATGTTAAATATATGACTCAGAAAGCTGCAGCGTTGAAGGAGACGTCGTCTTAAAAGCATCACTCAACAATGGTCTTTACCGGGTTATTATTGATTCAGAGCCACAATATTTCTCAAAACAGAAAATAATACTCAATAAATCTGGCATAAGAGGTTGGTGTATCTAAACAAAATCAGTATGCATTTTGTTGAATCCTAATCATTTCAAATTTTTATTTTTCATTTCGAGGGGTAATTTATTAAACAATTAATGATGTCACGTGTAATTTGAGTTGCCTATTAGTAGATTCAAATCAAAGACATTTTGTAATGTTTTTGATTCAAATATATTTACACGTATTTTGAGACCGAGTCACGACTTTCAGATTCGTACCATGAAAAGACCTTTGAAAAAGTCAGTACGAAATAAACTATATAGACAACCGGTAAACTTTAAATTTTTGCTGCAAAACATTTTTATTTGTAAAATAAGAATAAAAACCTGTGGTAAGAAAAAGCCTGGATCATCCCTTGGATACCAGAATTAAGGAGAGCTCTTACGTCACCCTAGATGTAGTTTGGGTAAGTGATTTGGTCTCAATCGTCTTTTCTTAACCGTTATATTCTTTTTTATTAATTTTTTAACTTTTATTTAATAGAACAATTTTGAAAGACATACAGTCTATTTTTCTGTGCCTACTGGTTAGGCTATCAACTGTTCCTTCTTGCGGGAACGTACACATTTATTAAAAAAGAAATTAGCTAAAGTTATCCACTATTCCGATGTACAGGGAGAGCAATGTATCTCCTATTTAGGTAAACAGACCCAAAACCCGTTTAAAAAACTGGAGGCAAGGGAGCCAATAAGTTTCTGCACCCTAATTTGTGTTGTCCAATGCCAGAATCTTCCTGAAGTGATCCAAGTCACATTTTTTTTATAGTGGATGATTTTTCAAGAGAAAGTTTATTATTTTTTCAAGTCAAAACATGACGTCAAGACGATATTCGAAAAGAAAATAAAAATTCTTGGAAGTGATAACGGGACTGAATATGTAAATAAGAATTTTAAAGATTTCTTAAAGTCCAAAGGGATCCGTCATCAATTAACCGTTGCGTACACGCCAGAACAAAATGGTGTGGCTGAATGTACAAATAGTCTATTATTAAGTGACAAATGAATGTGGACAGAGGCAGCGAATACTCTGTGTATTTAAAAAATCGATGCCCGCATGATGCTGTGAAAGAGAAGACTCCAGAAAAAATTTGGACTGGTAGCAAAATTAACCTACAGCACCTGAAAGTGTTTTGCTGCATTGCCCAAGCTCATGTTCCCAAACAATTGAGATATAAATGGGAACCCAAAAACTACCTTTGTTTTTTATTACACTACCAACAGATAAATCCAATTAGAAGGTAAGAAAAATTACAAATCATAAAAATACAAATATGAACAAATGGTAACTATACAAAAAAAAAATAATAATAAAACATATTTACCAATAAGTACACAATATATATTAAGTAGTCGTTTTACGTTTTATTGAAGCAATGTTGCAGGAAAAAATATCAAGTGATGAACCGATTTTATTATAGCAGTTACATATTCTATACAAAGGTAAGTGATTTTGTATGTTAGAGCTCGCAGTTGGTAAATAGAAAGAATAATTTACTCTAGACGTAATTCTAGATACAAGAAAGTTAATCATACTTAAGACCTCGGAGCAATCAATAGATGCACTTATGACTTTGTGAATAATAATTAATCCTGCAATGTTACGCCTATCTTCCAGTGATTTTACACAAAATCTGCTGAGATTTATGTAGGGGTATCCGATAACTGGATAGAGACCATCTTCTTTAAAACTCAAATATTTTAAGAACCTACGCTGTAC